AGGTTCCCCCCCCCCCCGGGAAATTAGTGAAATATGTTCATAACAGCTATGAAGTGCTTAGCCACTTATACGATGAGTACTGTAGGTCATGGCATAAGAATATTCGTAGTCCTGTGATCAGAAGAGGTTTGAGTATCCTGCAATTAAAAAGGTCTTGGCTACAGATTGAACAAGTATGGTATTCATCAAATAAGATACATGATCAGAAAATAAATCATGTTTTTAATGTATTATTTGAAAACCAGAAAAGGCAATTTTGATGATTTGATCAGAGAAAATACCATTTAGCCATGGAATTCTTGTGAAGAATTCTTGTGAATCTAGTTGTTGTTTATACATGAAAAATTAGAGTCTCAGACCTGAGAGATGTTCTATAAAATAACTGATGAATTAATTTTATAAAATATATTTTATAATTATAAAGCAACCATAAAATAACATAATGCATTAAATGTAGAGCAGCAGTTCTGAAAATTTTAGGCAGGCAATTAAAAATCAAATGAGTGAGGAAGAAGTGGTCTTAGTAATAATACCAATTCTGTGAATTCAGAAAAAAATGAGATTAACTAGCTGTCCAGAGTGCTCTGGTAGATGCGAATATAAGTGATAAAGAAAAGCAAAAATGTATAGTTGTGTATGTATGATATTTTAAATGGTCTGTTCAAAGAAACCGATTTATACAAACCATTCTTTTTTTCCAGTATTAAAAATCTTTTGCTTGGAAATCTTGCATTGGCAGAGAGGTGGCTGGATGATTGTGCCTTTTTGTTTATATACTGAAAAGTAAAAAGAAGACTGAGTATATCTGTATTCGTTTGAATAATACTATGGAAAGCCCTGATACATGTGTCATGGTTATTTACTGACAGATCTATCAGATTGCTTTTTCTTTGTTTTTAGTCTGGCTTTGTTTTCAAGATTTTTGTTGTTGTTTTTTTTTTGTGGTGGTGTTTTTTTTTGTTGTTGTTTGGTTTTTTAAAATTTAACTGCAAATAAACCAGGGGAAACCAGAACAGAATAAAAGTTTTTTTCCAAGCTTCTGGCAGTGCAGGCCAGTTAAATTTTGCCATCTTGGCTACTGTGATTTGAATGTGCATTTAGCGTGGTGATGTCATGCGTTTTTACCTTCTGCACAGTTCATGGTTAACTGTGTTATCACCTGTATACACATAATGGTCTTGATAATATGGTCCTTTACTGAAATAGTCAGGTATTTAGTTTCTGGTTCTGGCTCATCTGATATGGCCTGGTTTATAATTCATATTCTCAAGCAGGATGTTATCAATGGAAAAGTTATCCCATCTTAAGTGATGGAGCATTTGCACACACTTAGTGTGAGATATCTGTGTATTGTTTATCTCACAGAGTTCTAGTCACTCTGGAAATTGCTTGTACTGTCTCACTGTCTGGCAGATTAGATAAAATAATTTTAAAAGAGTTTTGGTTTTAAAGTAGTTAATTTGAATCACTGAACGACTCTAAGCCGTGCGTTTGTTCTGCCACATGTTTCCAAGTCCTCCTTTGTCTGCTCTTTAGTCCAGTTTAGATTTGATCTTCCTGGATTTAAGCAACATCCCTCATTTGGAAAGAAAGACTTCCTCATGCTTCTGTTGAAATCATTAATAGCTTTGTTTTTGGCTTCTGTGAATTTCCATAACAGCTCCATAATGCAAGCAGTAATGCTTCCTCAGAGCAACGCAGTCACCAATGGTCAGATTGTTCTAGCTTTTCCCTTATCCTTTCGGTGTTGAGTGATTTTTCAGCTCTTAAAAAAGAAAACACAAGGACTCTCCTGGGCTGCAGTGTGTACACCTCTGTTTGTTAGCTTTCAGACAATGAAATAACATCAGGCAGTTGCGTTCCCAGAGAAACGTGCAAACCTGAGAGGGCCGTAAGAAAAATGAGTAGGCAAAACAAAGATTATACATACCAAAAAGAAAAAAAAAAAAATACAACACTGTGGGTAGTTTACATGTAGTTCTTCTGCAAAAGCTCGTTTGTTTGGGCTAATCATAGCTGTGAATAACATCATTTCATGTTTTGCTCTTTTGTTGTTGTTGGTTTCTTGTCTTGTTTTGTGTGTGTATTTTTAACAGAAGATAACACCATTACAGTCGTAAATACTGATTTACAAAATTAGATATACTATTTGTATCTTGAACTTTTGTTTAGGGAAGTTCCACTTGATTTCAAAATTAGGAAGAGTAGAGAAAAGTGTAGAAGCACACTGTGGAGCTGTACTTGCAGGAAGGTGGAATTACGAAGGAACAGCGCTGGTTACAGGTAAGCATTCTTAAAGTAATGAAGTGTTTTGAAAACTAAAATAACAGAAGAGCTCTTTTAGAATAAAACCTTTTTTTTTTTTTAATATACAAAGCTGACATGCCACGAGGAAATGTAAGGGTACAAAAATATAGTATTAAATAAAATTTATGAAAAGTAAGTGCTTTCAATAAAATGTGTAGAATATAAGTACTTTATTCTGTGGGATAAATACAACAGAATGTTTTGGAAAAATAATTTGATCCTTGACATATGTTTAAAAGATGCAGTCCCAAATTTCATAGTTCATATTGTAGTTACATTGAATTTGAATGAATAAAACTGAGTCAGTATATTAAGTGCTCACGCACTGGTCTGGCTTGAAATCCTCATGAGAAAAGGGAAATGAAACACAAAATCAGCAATATAAATGAAGTTAGCTATATATAGATTACTTTTTTATGTCTTCATTTTCACTGGGGTTATCACCTGCTTTAATAGAAGTTAATTTTGCACTATTTGATTAATGCTGTTTTAGAAGAATGTTGTCTGTGTTGCTTAATAGAAGATCTGATAAAAACATTTTTCTTTTTTAGTGGTCCTATTTATTAGATGTTATCCTATTTACTTGAAATATTTAAATATTGTTAATAACAGAGGTTTTTTTTCCTTATCTGTTAGAAAAAAGGTTGCTAAGTCAGCACATTTATATCCCTGCCCATGTCATTTGCGGATTTTTAGCTAGCAAAGTTTACTGAGGCCTCATGACCATCTTGGATGTTCCTGTGCTTCTCTTTCTTGATTATTAGGAGTGGTGTAGATCCAGCTGCAGTCTAATCCTCTTATCTATTGAGGCTGGGAGAGTGATCTCCCAGTGTCTGCGTCTCTACGTGTGTTTTAATCCTAAATCTTTTGGTAATTAGTTGCTTTTGGCATTTTTGTCAAAAAATTCTATCTTGATGTTAAGGGGAAGCTAATTAAATTTCCTGTGATAGACTTCTCCTTTATGGGGTTTCTGTTGGTGTCAGAATTTTCTGCAGCCTCCTGTTGATCTAGCACAGCTGATTTCTTTGGATAAATTCCAACTCAGTCCAGAGGTACTGCAGATAATTTTGGATCTGCTTGTTTCCAGACTCAGTCTGACTCTAAAATGCTGCTTCAAGGAACTCTGTCTGGCATGTTCCTCTGAAATCCCATAGGGATAGAAATATTGTTCTTTTTAAAGACAGAGTTGCCTCAGGAACATCTCCAAAGGAAAAGTCAAAATTGCCTTTTCAATTTTTTTTTGAAAGACTGCATGACACTTATGGGGAATATGGGAATTCATCGCCATATCCAAACCAGTGTACTCTGAGAAGATCAACTGTTCTTATACTGCAACTATACTTTGAGGAAGAGTGAATCATTGATGATACTGTATCAGTTAAAATATTCTTCATGGCTCTATTTTAATAGTCTCAAATATAGACAAATAAGATTTTTTTAAATTTCTTTTTGCACTTTTTAAACACTTAAAATCTACATTGGCCAGATATAGAAACCTGAAATCTGGTAAGTAAATTACCTTTGGATCGAAGAATGGCATTAATCATCTAGGTGCACCTTTTTCCTCATTAATTGAATCTGGGAGGCCTAAATGAAGACCCAGAGCTGTACATTTTAAATATGATAGCACGCTGGGAAATCTGTGTTCTTAATGCATGCGTAACTATGCTGTATAGTCTATAAGAACTTAATCTTTAATAAGTAAACTGAGTTTCTTGGTAACTTGCAGTTATGTTATAAAATTTAAGCCGCCTAAGTGAAGCCTTCAGTTATCTTCAGTTTCACCATTTATCAACTGTGAAGACTCCAGTTTAATACATAAAATCTGTTCCTACTCTCTTCAGACTCCTCAGAGAGTCATTTAATCAGCCTCGGGGCCATTGAACTGTAAATAGTTGAAAAGTACTAGCAACGCTGAATAGAAAATACAGAACTTGGGGTACTTAAATAGTGATGGACTTTCTCTTCCCAGCAGCAGCTTCAGATAAGAGGACTATAGGGATTTTCAGGAGAGGAAGAGACTTGTTGATAATAGCATAAGAACAGTCCTAAGTATTTTTTTCCTTAGTATACTACCTATTTGCATGTTAGGAAGACTACCTAAACAATATTTACCTGTAAGAAGATCTGGACTTCTTTCAACTCTAGTGTTTTCTAGGTAAATACAAGTTGCTGTTTGTTAGACCTATTATTGCATTTAACTTGATGATTTCTGTGATAACTTTACAGTTGGTGAAGATGGCCAAGTGAAAATCTGGTCTAAAAGTGGAATGCTGAGATCCACTTTAGCTCAACAAGGTAAGTTAATTTTCTTGAAGTTCCATTAGAACTTTTTAATTTGGGGTATTATGAGATATATTTAAATAACAGACCCTAAATCTAGCAGTAATGGTTTGTTTAAGGATCTTAAGGCCTAGATAAACTTAACTAAAATTAAACGTAATCGTAGTTGAATACAGGGGGAACTGGATTTTTTATAAGATGATTATCTTTAAAAAAAACTTATTCCAATTAAAAGTATTATTGCAACATTTTTAGACAATAGTTTCAGTTCCACCCTAAGGATTCTGGAGAGGTTAAGGAATTAAAACCAAAAAAATCCAGCTTTTAGAACCAAGCCACAGACTCTTATGGTGAAACTGAAAAAAAAACAACTCTAAAAGCATTGCAAGAATGCTTGAAAGATGCAAAGTGCATGTAGGTTAGTTCCTCTCAACTTCAAAACTCTTAACAGCCCTTGGCTCATCTATCTGTTTAACCCAGTAACTAATTTAGAACATGCAAACAGTCCTACTGAAGTGAAACGATCCCTGTGCTTAAGTTCTTTGTTGAACTGGGGCCATGGAGACTTAAGCTTGATCTTGTCTTTGTAACTACAGTTTTATGCATGCTAGGGCATTCCAGTTATTTAAGTCAATTTAAAATCACATTATTGTCAAGTGCAACAGTATAAGCTGCAAATACATATTTATACAAATGATGTTTTATATTTTTTAAATGTTATTTTTTTATAATCATAATTTCTAACATTTTTGTACTATTTCAGTGAAGATACTGAGCTAGATTTTGTTTTTCAGACTTCATACATTGAGATCATGTGACCTTTTGACATTTTTTAAGAAACCACATGCACCTGGGGTTGGGTTAAATGTCAGACCCTTATCTCTTTCTAAAACAAATTATCTAAATTCTTTCAACCTGTTGAAGGCATTTTAACCACAGGAGTGAATGTAAAATGTATTTCAGTTCTGTTAAGGAAGTTCATATTCAGATGTAATGTTTTTTTATGCTTACAATGTAGAAAGATAAGCCAACTGAACTGTAATTTTTGAAAAAAAAAAAGTTGAAAAAGTCAACTTATTTCTCAGTTGATATATTTCAAGGTTTTTTTATGCTTAATTGTGCTTATTTGAGGTTTGATGAAGCTTATAAAGTAGCAGACATGTTCTAGTTTGAAATATACAAGCTGGCTTGTCATTGATTTCTTAGAGTTTCTGGTACAGTATAAAAGTACAGTTGAGTCCCCATGGAATAATTGTCTTCTTGTGTTTGTGTTTTAAGATAAGATCCTGTGAGGCTCAGAAACCCTTTAAATCTGTAGCATCAGATTCCCACAGACCCCTCTGTAAGCTACTGACATACCTGGGATCAGAATAGGATTCTGCAGAAATTGTTATGTTGTTTAAGAGCGGTATATCGTGTTTGAGCTAATTTTTCACTTCCCTTATCATCTCCTTGAGAAATGAAAGGATTCCCATTGCTAACATTCTTTCTACTCTTTCTATTCTTTCTATTAGAAATAAATTTTCAGGGTCTTATCTTTGGATAATGGTCCACATGCCTATTCTATCTTTGGATTTTTATTCACTACAAAAACACGAACATACATTTTTCCCTTTTTTCGCTTTTTGAGTACTCATATGGAGTGCTCCGGCCGCATGTCCATCTGTCATGCCAATGCATGGAATACAGTGTGACCGCATAGCCTCTCTTGCATTCAGCCCCTAGCTGTAATATTGGTGTTACGGCTGCGTTGTTCTTTGAGCCTGATCTCACTTCTTCATCCTTAGGTTATCTTAATATCTTCCTTTTGTTCTTTCTTTTCCTTAAACTGAAAGCTTTTTTAAAAAATGCTGTATTTGCAATCCTTTGGGCTTCCAGCTGACACAGTGCACTGACATGTTTTGATTTTTTTTTTTCGTGGATCTCTTTGGTATATGTTGCAGTGCACTGACATGTTTTGATTTTTTTTTCGTGGATTTCTTTGGTATATGTTCGTAACCCACAGGATTATGCTTAAAGCAGGATTTCTCTGTGTATTCTGTGATGTATACACATTGCATAATGTCTCGGCACTCAAAGTGTCTGTGTTCCTTTGGAGAGCACCACAGAGTTATGAATACTAGGATGTATAAAGTATTGAAGGTCCACATGTGAGAGAAAAGATGGCTCTAGAGCACAAATTTTTACAGTGCTTTGTAGATTCTGACACTAAGATTGTTTAAGGTGAAGTCTGTAGTGTCAGTGATGCCACCTGCACTGAGTCCTTCACAGACCAAACATCTGGTTAGTAGAACGTGTGCGGAGTCCGCAGTTGCATAGCCTCTCTTGAAACGTCTTTCTAAAATTGCTACTGTTGAAGTTCATAAACCACTGGCTCTCTAACCCTTTAAGTCCTCTATGGAGTCAAAGGTATTGGTCAAGCTGAAAATTAAGTAGAATGCAGGTGTGTCTTCCTTACTACAATCAAGATTATTCTGCAGCACCCTTTCTTAAGCTTATCCCACCAGTGAAGATGACAGCTTTGCTGATAACCTTACTCTTACTCCAAGATCTGAGAACCTTCAGGGCGGTCAAGCAAGCAAGTCTCATGGATCCACCCTAAGTATTTCATTGCTAGAGCACCTGCTTTGATCCTGGTAATTCTTCTAGTGTCCCTAATTCCAATCAAGACAGGAGTAATTCCTTGTGGGAAAGTCATATTTTAAATCCACGGGAGGACTTTATTTCTTGTGCCATGAAAACTTACTTCTTTTAGAGCATTTGATGAAGGACATCACCATAATCTTAATGAAAATACACATACATTGTGCAGACCAAGTCAGTACTCTCCATGTGCTTTTTGATTCTCAGTGAAGCCATGACTTTCCATTATAAAAGAATATGACACTTACTGATCATTTGAACATCATTATTCACAGACCTGTTGTTTCTGTACCACACATTCTACCAGTTTACCTCAGATAGATTTCTAATTCTTCAGGTGATGTCTTTCAAATTTCTTTCAAGTTGAACTTGTCACCTAGTGTTCTTGAGACCTTATCTTTCTTGAGTACTTATCTTTTGGCCCTGCTGACTTTCTCATGGGCTTCCAGTGACTACTATGCTGAGTAAGCACTGAGGAGTAATATGAATAATTGGTGTATAGGTTGCCTTTTTGGTTAATGGAAGCAAAATCACAGCAGTTGCAATGTAACCAGTTTAATTACAACATGTTTATTGTGAAGTGGAACTTACTTTTTAAGGGACAACTGTATTCCAAATGCAGCTCTTATTTTTTGTGCTGCCACAGAGAGACATAAAATTGTCTGAATTAATGTTCCTACTCCTGTGGAAGTAAAAAGTCTCACACAGACTTACTGTTGTAATTACCAAAGTATCTGCTGTGGCTGAAAGTGTCAGAGTGACTGCACTCAACCCTGGCTCCTTCTCTGCTCCTTCTCTGCCACGGGAATGATTCATTGGGGATTAACATCTGCTAGTAGAGCACTGAGATGTGAAAAGCCCACCGTGTGTGCTTAATGCTGGTGTTCCTTCCTCAGATCTTCTCTCAGTCCACCTTTTCTGCTTTTCTCCCTTCTTTTCCAGAATGTTTTTTCCTGAAACTGTTTATCACCAATGCAATTCACTTCAGTTTGTCTGTTCTGCTGAATTTTTCCTTCCTCAGCAATGTAATGTGTTGGCAGTCTTTTCCCAACCAAGTTCTTGTTAAGTGCAGAAGGAAATGAGTTAACTTAGCTCCTGCTGTTAAGCCCTGGAAATTGTGGTTAAGTAGTCAGCCATCATAAAAAAGTTAAACATTTGGTTTAAATATAAAAGTCTTCTGATTGTTAAATCAGCATTAGAGCAGGACAAAAATTAGTTTATTTAGAATTTCTGTACAGCTGGTGACAGAATTTATGTCATTTTCAACATAAATTGCTGCCAGTAGGAAAACAGCTGATGCCAGATTTACTTAATGTATGTTGTATGTTTCTATGAGTTGTCTCCTGTAATGGTTGATGAGTTAAAAAAAAAAATTACATCATTCTGTATTTCTAAGTAACATAAAATAAATGCCTTCCTAAAAGAAAATATACAAAGTACAAAAATATTCAGGAGCAATGACACCAGGTCTCAGTTTAGAGTTTGAATATTTGGAAGCTCAAGCCAAGTTTAGTGTGCTGAATTGATGTGGCCCTAATAAAATCAGGTTTTTGTTCAGAGACAAAATTTGAAGGCTTAATTGGTAAGATATTAGATGATGTTAGGGCAGTTGATATAGCAGTTCAATCTCTTACATATCTAAATCTCATGAAAATATTCTCATAAAAAGATATTTCTGAGTAATTTTTTGAAATGGAACTTCATATGACAAAAGTGTCTTTCAAAATTTTAGCCTGTAGGAGCATTTCTTAAGCCTTTTGGGTTTTTTTTATTACCACAGATTATAGATGTACCAAAAATGGTTTATTTGGTCAATTTTAAATAATTTGGTCGATTTGATACTTAGTTATCAGCTGAAATATTCATGGCTCCCTAAGAAGTGCATATCTCTCAGAATTTAGGAGAATTTATCTCCATTTTCCTCTTCTAAAATTCTGAAATTGTCACATACCAACATTTAGGTTGTAACAGTTGGTTTTTCTGAGGTTTCTTATTTCTCAAACAGAACTTTTGGGGTACAATTCAGTTGTGTTAATGTGAGTGTGTCATTAGTGCCGTTTGAGGTTCGTTGTGCTATTCTGCCTCACCTCCAAATCTGTTCCAGAAGGAGATGGATCTCTTTCAGGTCCTGTGTTGTATGTGTAAGCTCCACATGGGTATCTTAGAGTCCCCTAGGTGCACTGCATTGCTTAGGTGCTTGTGTTTAGACAATTGAATCGTGTCTTTAAAGGCCTCATTTCTACCAGTGAGAATATTAAGTCTGTTAGAGAAAAAGAGATGCCTGAAATAAGTCTTCTCTTTCCCTTTTCAGAAGATACGGAAGCGAGCTTTACCAAAAGTAAAGAGAATGGTCTGACAGGCACTTATTACACAGTCTCCCTCCTTGCAGTTTTATATGCACTGTAATGTTGAGGCCATGCTGAAACTTGCTGTCCATTGCTACAGGGCTTTCGCTGTGATAGAAATAAATGCTTGGACATGCTCTTTACTTAACTTTCTTAGTTTTATTTGCAAGGAATCAAGTAGCGTAATACTTTGATTCTTCTTCTTCAGGGGAGACTAATCCTGTCAAGTACTATGGAAAATATTTGCATAGTTGGCAAGTCTGATTTTTTTTTTTCCCTGGATGCTTTTTCCATGTAATTTTTCACTTTCTTCTATTTTCAAAAAAGGTCGTTTGAAAACTGCAATGTAACATGATTTTAAACCGGAACAGTCAACTGTATTCTACATTTATCATTCTGGAGTTTTCAATCTGCAAAAAAATGTTTTCAGTTAGTTGGGAAAAATCTGTGAAGTCTGTGGGCCACTCTTTCTAGCTTTATTTATTGTCATGTGTTTTGTAAGTTGCTTGCATATGGGTTGTTTGCTTTTTTAATATGTGCAACAAAACAAAAATATGTGTTTTGTTAGAGGCTTAATTATGGACACTAAACATCTTACAAAGAATAATTTAGGTGCAATACAAAGCTTTTTCTACCCACGTTTGTGTTCAGTCTCACCATTGTAGGTGAAAAGAGGTATTTTCTGATGCCCCTTGATAAGTATTAGACTGTTGTTGTGTTGATTTTCTGTATCTCTTAAGTGACAATTGTGAATAAAATTGTGAATAAAAGTGATGCATTGAAAAAATGGAGAGGTACAATATGAGAAAGGGAGATAGCTATAGCAGTAGTAAAGTCATACACATATTCAATATCCCAGAGGTAGTATTGGTCAATTCATTACTTGTTTTGCATTATTTGTTTTGTTCACCCACCCATTGAAAGTGGTAGATGTTTGATGGTTTACTCAAGTGAATTTGACAGGACTTCACTCTGTGTATTTGTATTTCGTTGACGGGTGTTGGAAAGGTATGCAGCATGAGCTAAAGTCTTCAGAGTTGTCCTTCTGGGTTGCGTCTGTCTCTTACTTCTGTTCCTGTGCCTTTCTAAAACGTGAAGTGAACCAGTAAAGATGGCCGTAAGTGCAGTCAAATAAGTGTGGAGGACAAATAGTTGCCCCTAGTTTGGCTTTCTCCCACTCCTGAATTTTTGATGTGTGATTTTTAAGTAACCAGTTTGAAGTGGCTATAGGAGTTTCTGCATAATTTGATCAGGTAAGTCATAAGAAACGTGTTCATTCTTTCTGTCTACAGGAACACCAGTGTACTCAGTGGCCTGGGGACCTGATTCTGAAAAAGTTCTCTATACTTCAGGGAAGCAGCTGATTATTAAACCTCTTCAGCCAAATGCTAAAGTTCTGCAGGTATCATTGATACATTAAGGTTGTCTCACACCTCCCCGTGAAAACTTTTTTCAGTTATTTAGATTTTTGCCAAACATAAAATGTTTTTGCTAAATTTTTCCATGCAACATGTGTACCGCTCTTTTCTCCCCTCCCCTTTTTAGTTTTTTTTGAGAATAAGGAGATTGTTCATTTCTCTAAACTCAAAAAAATTGACAATTTCTGCTGTGGATTTTCTTCAGGCACGTGATTAAGTATTTCCTGTTTTGTAAACAAAAAAAAAGCAAAAAGATACAGAAGCCTTTCATTTTCGTTTATTACGAAAAGGTGGAAAGATAAAGAAGCAATTGTTTAGAACCTGCTTTTAGTGCAGATTGTTATGCTTTCATTCTGCCTTGTTCAGGCTGTATTTAATTTATTTTTCTGCAGAAGAGATGACGTCTGTGCTGTTTGTACTGTTGGAAACCCTGACCTACATTGGTGTGTGTGAATGCTAGTAAATGATGAGTGATAAATATTAAAACCAGAAGTTGTCAGACTTGTTGCATCTATGTTTAATTTATTTTTTTCCATTTCAGTGGAAAGCCCATGATGGACTTATTTTAAAAACTGACTGGAACTCAGTTAACGATCTTATTCTTTCTGCAGGTGAAGATTGTAAATATAAGGTGAGTACTGGTTAACTTTTTAGGGGAAACTAAATGACGAAAAAAGATACTAGGCATTCTGATGTTTTCTAATTTTAATAATACTTGGAAGCTCAAAATTAAATGAGAAGTCTTTCAATTTTCAAGAAAAACTTGTTACCCTAAGTTGAATTATTTGCAAATACATCTCGCTCTGTCTAGTAGCATAAAATCAGAAATGTTTTGGGTTTGTTTGGTTTTTTTTAAATACGACAGAATAAAAATAAGTAAAATGCAAGTGAAACAAACTCCGAAAGGAAAATATGTAGAAATATAGAAATGATTACTTGAAATAGTATAAGCTATGACATATACTGAAAAAGGTAATGCCATGTAAAATTAGAGGTGATAAAGCTACTGTTTTATATTATAGGAGCATTAGTGAATCCCTTAGGAAATTTTTTGGTTAGTATATTCTGTATCCAAAATAGAAAGTACATATTGTATTTCTTCCCTTAAGTAGGAACTTATTTTTAATTGTATGGTATGTTGGTTCTATCATTCACTAAGTGTATAATGGCTGTGATAAAAATGTACACAATTAAGAAATTTAAAAAAAAAAACATATCAAAGTGTTAACATCAAATGACTTCACTCTGAATTGGCTTCCTGGTATTCTGTAGGCTTCGATCAGTAAGCAAATCTCTTTGGTCTGGAATTTGCAGAGATGCCTTGCATTGCTGGGAAACGAGTTCAAATGGAATAAACCTTGTGGTTATTTTACAGACTTACAGTAATTTGCAGGAAACAAAACTCATTAGTTCAAAATATTTTATACAGAATAATGTAATATTTGCCATAGCAGGAAAGCAAAGTCTATTGCATTAAACAAACCAATATTGATTAGGAACAACCATTAATGGAAAGTGAACTAATATATGTGATTTTTCTACATTAAGGGACACTAAAATAACTTGGAATATTTCAGCAACTTCTGTGATCATGAAGGAAAATGATAGCTCTAGAATAAGTAAAGATATGCCCAAACTATGTTCATATAGATATATATTTAATTTTTTTAAAGGTTTGGGACAGTTATGGACGTCTACTGTACAGCTCACAGCCCCATGAATATCCTATAACATCTGTTTCCTGGGCTGTGGATGGAGAATTATTTGCTGTGGGGTCTTTTCATACTTTGCGTCTATGCGATAAAACTGGGGTAAGTAACAACTCTGAGAAACAGCAGATGTGGAATTGTACAAATTTATTGGTAATACAATAAATATTCCTGAGGATATATGTGTACAGGTAGGTATATTTATTAGCAAAAACTAGTCATGACTTCCAGCGCCTTTCTACTGAGTGCATCTGACTAAGGTGCTGCCTTCTTGATCTGCTTAGCTGCACTTCTAAATATGTTTTAGGTTTGACAAAATTTTTTTAATAATATTTTGCCTTTCAGGACATTACATTTTTCTGTGCGTTTTTTAGCTTTTTTTCCTTAAAAACAGAGAATTTACTGGCATCTCTTATAAGGCAATCATAAAATGCAGTTATTAACCATAAAAAGCAAGGTATGTATAAAATAACCTATCTTAAAAAAAGGAGATTGAAGAACAATGTCCTGTGCTTTTATTATTTAGCTTTTTTTTCTTAAAAAATACTAAAGTTTGACAAGCACATCTCATGAGGAGATCACAACATACAATTGTCAGGCATTAGAAACAATAAGGCTAAAGCAGCAGTGAAAGAGGAGCTAAGAGAACGTTCATGCTTTGCTTCCGATGGCTAGGCAGGGCACAGTTTTTCCAGCTAAAGACATTCTTCAATCCTCTTATCTGAACATCTCTGTTACTTCTTAACTGTTGTGTGAGAAGAAAGGCTCCTAAAGGAGATACCTTTGTTTCTCGTCTTTTTTCTTTTTTCTTTTCTTGAAGCTTTACTCCCAGTTTGTTGTTGTTGACCTAGGGTTTTTTTATTTCAACTTGGTCTCCAATTAGAATTAATGTAATGCAGTTTCATCTGCCTTCATTGGTATTGTAAGTTAGCCCAGAGAACAGATTGACCTAATTGTCTCTGTGGATTTCCTGTGGTTCTGCAACTTTTTGTTCAGGCTCATGTTGCATTGAACCTTCCTGGTTTGGTGGGACTCTTACTGTCCCGTTCTCTACATCTTTTCTTGTTGTGTTTGTTACTCTTTTGCTCAGATTGGGAGAACAGCGTTTGCTGTGATGTTTTGGGCATCTTCAACAGAGCATGGTTCTCCTTACCATGAACCTGGACTGTGTGTTTCGAGTATTTTTACATTTGTGAAGAAGAGCCTTTAAAAATTATGAGAAGAGGCATGCAGGATAAGATCTCTTAGTCTTCATATTTCACTTTCTATACTGATTCTGATTTCAGTGATCTTCGCTAACAGAAGTAAGTGAAAGCTAGATGTTAAATTTGAAGTAGGGATTGCCTCTATTTTCTGTGCCTTTTTCTCTTACTTGCTTTGAAAAATTCCTATTGCTACTTAATCTGTATAAGTAAAATGTGATGATAATTATCTTGAAGGAAGACAAAAGTACTCATGTGCAATTTTCTTTTGGAAAGTGTTAGTTTTCTGATTTTAAAAAAATTGTTTTATTTTGATGTCTACATTGTTAAGATTTTTATGTTAAGGAGATTTTTACCTGTGTGTTACAAACACAGTAGAAAGTTAGAAGAGTAAAGTAGTGAGTAGAGTTGGAACCTGAGGTATGAACTTGTGCAAAAGATTGGAGTACCACTCACATAGGTAAAAAAAGATATTGAAGTAAGTATAAAAGATAACAAAGTAAAGAAGATATTTTCTCTCTCTTTGATAGAAGTCTGGAGAGCAGATTGCAATTGCCACCATCTAATATTTTTCATCATTGAAATTATTCTTCTAAAAGAACATACATCTTACTGTTAGATTTGTCTGCCTTTGTTTTGTTCAAAATTGAATACTATTGTCTTTGGAGAAGAAAATGGATAAATTGTCTGTATGCATACAGTCATAAAGATTGTCTAGTAATGCCTCAGCTGGTAGAGGATGGGACACTCCGATGGTTGCTAAGTGGCTACATCACCAGTGGGGACATATTTTCCTCTCTCTGGCATTCTTCTGGTTGGCTTAATGTGAGATTTTGTCATTATCTTTACCAGCTTGGTGTGCTTATCTGGTGATACGCTTGCTGCTTCCCTTAGAAGGGTCCTTCAGGATTGCCTCAAAGCTTTTGTTCCTAGGCAAGGTGGATAGGAAGATTTTTCTCCATTTTAATATTCCACTTAACTCCACTTAAAATGTAAATAAAGCAGTAATCTACCCTGACTGTTGCCTTTCTATCTCCCTATATAACTATGCTGCTGTAGAAGTGTTTATATACATGTACCATATTTCACTTGATGAAGCCAAATAAGGTATATTTGTGTAAAGCAATTTATATAATTACACCTGTGTTGGACTACATTAAGTAACATATACTGGTTTAAACAATCAGTCTAGCCATTAGTATCTTCTTGTTAAAACAGCACTTTAAACCATGCCTTCTTCTTCCACAACCACTTCCCATCTCCTTTCTGCGTACTGGAATCACTGAGCTGTATCAGCAAGTGGTGAACTGAAGTAAATATGCTCTTGTGTGGGTGAGGCCAACAATTTAAATTGCATTTTACACTCAATACAGATTTATGCTTAAATGTGGCAAAGACTGGTGCAGTGGAAAAGGAAGAAAAATACTAGATTTCTTCTGCTGTCATGTATGCTGTTTTGTAGCACATAGCTTTTTTTTCTGATCCCCAGGGCCTTACTGTTTTTCTTGCTAGTTATTATGTAATATAATTTATTATAAATATGACTCCAACTCCTGCTAGCTGAAAACCAGTAATTTTTTAATCAGCATTTAGTATTGAAATGGCTTGTGGACTTTGTTTGAAATTTTAATGGAGATAAGTTTATTTTTTCATCAAATTAAGCGTTCTTTTACCTGGTTTAGTCCTCAGCTCCTAAAGAAACAAAGACACATACAGTAGCTCATGCCAGATGCTTTTGTCTGTTTAGCAGCTAGCAATGTTAATTTCTAATCTTCAAAAGTCATCATTTTTCATGAAAGTTTTTCTCCTGACATTGAATGTAAATAGTTACTAAAGAAGTAGCTTTGCTAATATTGAGGGAAAAGGAAGAACGATTCACATACCACCAGAGTGATGGAGTTTGAAGAGAACCAGACCTGGCTTTTACTGGTCAACATAGACATTTTTATTATGTCTGATGTAATGGAGCTGTATTGGCAAATTGCTCCTCAGGGAGCCATCAGGCGATATATATATCTCATTAACTCTTCTCTAGCATATGTGTTCAGTTTGGGGACATAATTAAATTAAATTCTGTTAGTGTATGTTCTTTTCTCCTATTCTTTTCTTTCTACCTGGATATTTTGTTCTAGCAGCTTCATGTTAAAAAAGAAAACTACAAATCTAATAGTAACTTTTAGAAGTTTTGTTTCTTCATTTAAAAATCACTTTTGCTCTGATAGCATTATGTATGTAAAATAAATTATTATGGGTATCCTACAGAATACCAAACAAAATATATTTAATGTTGAAGTTTCTTGCTTGCTTTAGTGCCCATGATCATTAATCCTGCAGAGAGCGCTAAGATTAACTTTAAAATATATATGTTGAAATGTAGGACTGGATGTATTGATGAATAGACTTTAGCCTTCCTGGTGTTCACAGCTTTTCAGAATCTAATCACTTGGATGGAGGGCAGTGCTTAAAAAGTTCATTTATGTAAGCTATTTCCTGTGGCTCTGCGTGCTTCCCTTGACATTACTGATCAGGTCAAAATATTTACACAGTAAGAGATGGTAAGAATGACTGAAATTCACTGATTTCCTACTTCCCCACTCCACTCCCACATAAGTATCTTAGAAAATGGGCCATACCCATCTGCTCCAAAGACAGGTTGCTTTCCCAGTGCCTTGGAGAGTGTAGAAGGATAATTGATAAAAAACTTTAAAGTGAAACGCTGGTTAAATTAATCCTTTTAGAATTGCCAACAAAAGTTGGCAAATATGGACATCAAATGTACATTTTAATAACGCTGAATGTATTTATGCATTTGTTTTGGGGAGGCCTGTTAGATTTTCTTCCGTTAATGATTTATTTACCCTTAATGGGGATTGATCAGTTTGATTTGATTTTTGGTTGTTGTTATTTTGCAAATTAATTATGCTCTTCTTGTTGAAGATTTTTTTCTGTTGATGTTTATCTACAGTCTGTTTTCAGAAATAAATTGATGTTTGTTTGACTGCTAAATCTTGCACTTTGATTTACTTCTGTCTTGATTTCATCACTATGCTTAGCAAATGCTTTGTAACGAAAGCAATTCTCTGCATAAATCTGTAAGTTTATGTTTTTAAATGATTATTTACATTCTACAAACTTTCTATTTTATTACAGAATGAATTGTGACCATTTTACTAGACCGGTAGTTTGCATATTTGATTCTGTTATATATGGCTTTTTATATTGCATGACTTGGTTTTTTTGCTAGAAATTCTATAAAAAATGTTTGGAAAACTTAATAATATTTAGGGAATATTGCCCAATATCTGTAGAAAATAGAGGAAAACGTTCTGCAAGTGTAACAACTACTTCTCACCCACCACCCCATTTAAAACAAGTGTGAGTATGGTGCTATGGCTAAAAAATATCCAGCTCTGTGGTAACGTGTTTCTATTCAGCTCTTTCTCAGAAAGATACAGACTTGAACTTAATGAAAGTTGACTACATTCATTTTATGTCCAGGGTTGGTCATATGTTAAATAGTTAGCAGTGTTTGTCCTTTTTTCCTTATTTTTTTAAACTATTGCCAAATGAGGAAAAAAGCATCTAAGAATTTTAAAACTACAATGTAGCAGGTATCTACAGAGAAGCTTTGAAAGTGGTTTTAATGCTAAGCACTTAAATTATGATTTTCATTCAGCACAGTACATTATGTGACTAATGTAAAATTAACGTAATTTATCCTTTAAATTAACATTAGATATTATACAAATATAAGAGATAGCAACATTTTGAAAGTGAATGTATACAGTGCATATGTTTTCATGTTATTCTGATGGTGCTGAATTGTCCTAAACTGGAGCACTATGAAAACCCAAGCAAATCTGTTTTCTATAGAGTTACAATGAGCTTTGATCCCATTAC